GCCCTGCTTTGCCATGACTTAATAATCCAATTCAATCCATTTCATCAGTATTTGGTCAGAGCCTTTATCAGTCTTTAGAGCCTAGGCATTCTGAAGGCATGAGATGAAAGGAAAGACTGGTTTCATTAAGAGGGAAAACATCTTTAGATAACATCTTTATACATCACTGGATAAATTCCTGAATCTTCAAATAATTCGACTGAGAAATCATGGGATTCTCTGTTTTTAATATGATATGATGTAATTAAATTTATACAACCATATTGTCGAAAACCAGTCACTCTTCAATTTAATCTGCAGTGATATCGTTTTAGTCTTTTCCGTTAGCACAAGCTCAATTGCTGGTATTTGCTAGTGCACATGTCCAAGTGTTTTCTCTTTGAACACTCAACTTTCTTGAAGTAGATTGCCCTTTAATTTTTTGCTTTTTTCCCCTAATTTTTCTTCTTTCCTTCTACATTTGTTTTCAGTGCTGACACAAGAAAATTAAAATTTTTCGATTGTTATACTTCCATAAATTTTGCATTCCTGTTAATTTTTAAAACATCAGTTGCATCAAATGCATTTCGGTTGCATCAAATGTGATGAATTCTGCTTTTAGAATGGCCAGTGATTTCGGCTATTACTTTAAAAGATTTTCCAGATTGGAAATGTCTCAGAACTATTCCAGTGTTCCGTTTGTTTAAAGACATTGTGAAAATAAACATCAAATGAACATTCTCAGTTTTAGACAATTCGATTTAAAGTAAAGTAGCAGACGATAACACGGCACAGGCAAAAATTTACTCTTACAAATATTTTTTTTTTTTTTTTGTTGTTGTTTTTGTTTTTGTTTTCTTTTTAGGGAAGAAAGAAAAATTTTTTTAGCAGAATGGTTAAAAATTTGAACAATATCATCTATAATTTAAAAATTAAAAGCTTTTCTTATATTGTTAATAAATATTTATTACACGTCATTGAGGGAAAAAATTCCGTATGTTATACTATAATTAATTCTCCATAAAAATGTATTTGAAATTTAACTTTAAAAATAGTTATGGCAATTCACTGTGACAAAATCCATAAACCCATTTGGCGTTGTTATCGCTAAAAAAAAATAGGTTATAATTCAAGATTATTTTTGAAAAATTTATAAAAATTATTTAAAATGCAAATTTTAAAAATTAATCATAAAAAATGAGTGAATTTTATTTGGAATGAACCTAAGCTTCAAAATGTGAAAGGAAGAATCAGAAACATTTAATAAAAAAAACAGATATTAATAAATATATATACCAAATTTAATTAACATTGGTAAGCTAATTTTTTAAAAACTACTCTTGTGATTTTTACAAAACTTCGCACTCTGGCATAATTACTTCCAGTGCATGAGACTGTGTATCAGAAATTCTAAAGATAAGCCCTTTTTAAATTATTTTGCGATATTATTGTTGAATTGAATTTTATGGTTTAGGTGCAAAAACATATTTAATAAATAAAGGTAATGCACAAAATGTTAAAAAAAATGCCCCTTTGGACGTAATTTAAAATCAGAAACCTTTCAGATTTTCTTTTCTTTCTTTTTTTTTTTTTTTTTAAAGTAATTCACAAAACATAAATCACGAGAGCCATTAACCAACGAAAATCTGAAAACCCTCAGATTTTCTTTCTTTCTTTTTTAAATGATATATTAAATTTTTCTGTGAAAACAAAGGACCAACAAATCGTTGATTCAGAATGCCTATATTCTGCCCTTTTTATCTTCTGGTTTCAGAAATTGAGTATAATTTATTTTGTGTATTTGATACACTATAAGATTGCATTGAAATATAAACAGGAAAACATATTGCTGAAATTAATAAAAATATAAGATAATGTTGTGTTAACAATACTTAGAAACTTGACAACAGCAATTATATGTGCACATTTTTATGTAGTCCCTTTATGTATGGGCTCTTATAGAATTTGTCATTCCAAAATTAAAATTGTTGTTTTAATTAACTATGTGTATCTCACAATAACATTTTCTTAATCTACATAAGATAAAATAAAGCATTATAGAGAGTAATAAATATAACACTGGGGGGGATATGCTTTTAAAATTGATTTCCTTTTGGTGAATCAAAAATATCATTCCTTGTCTCAAAATAATTCCCCAAAATTTACAGTATTTGACACATTTTATCCACCACTTTTACTGAATGTTTACATTAATTCTTAACCCTTTGCGGCGCACTATGCGTTAACGTCGGAATTTCAACAAAAAAAGTTGTATGCAGTCTATTTAGTCCTAAAGGAGTATATAGGTAAAAGTTTGTAAAAATTGCACTTACCGTTTTAATTCTGTGGGTGTTCCATGAGGTGGAACACTGCGCCGCCAGAGCTTTTAAAAGTGTGACTAAGCGAGCATTACAGTGAAGCGAAAATGAGTAGAAGCGTTTGTATAAGAATGAAAAAACTCTGTATTATGGTTGTATACATGGTTTCCTGGATATACACAATATTCTTGAATATATATAGGGATAAATGAGATAAATATCTATATACACAAGTCCTATATACAAAAATATTTACAAATTTTCGGAAAGAGTTAGACCTCTCCGCGCCATTTATGGGAAATTAATAATAAAAAAAATTAACTACGATTAATATTAACAATAAAGAAAAATAAGCCTATAATATATACATACACGAAAAAATATCTACACAATTATTGAAAATAAACAGGAATGAGACTAAAATGCGACAGCAAAAAATTCGCGCAGGTCTAAGTAAAGATAAGTCTAGCTACTAATAAAATTCTCGCCTAAAAACTACTCCCAAAAAATTCAAGATGCCCATATTAGGGCTTTCATCACACAAAACACACCTCACCCCTCAATACTGCTTTGTTTGAATTCATCCCCCCCCAAAAAAAACAACGGAAACAGAAAACGTGAACAACAGATGTTCTCTCCTAAGCACAGATGTTCTAATTCGTAACAGCATGAGATCGCTAAAGACGCAGTGTTCCTCCTAATGGAACACCCAGTTTTAGTCAATGATTCTGCGCATGGTTTTTGTATGAAAGATTAAAAAAAAAAAAAAAAAAAAAGAACAAATAATTTGGAGTACAGCCAGCAAAATTATGTCTAATTTTTTTTCAAATAAAAATTTTTATATCATTAAAAAAAAAATCTGATGTGTACACCACATGACTTCCTTGTACGGAATACTAAATTATACGCATTTTTTCTTGCATTTTATTTAAACTTATTAAATTGAATTAAACCTACTTCGCCAACAGTGCATAAACCACAATAGAATAAATGCATTCTTTAAAATTCACTTTGTTTACCATAGTGACACTCTGGCGCTAGGTTTACTTAACAGTATTATATTTCGTTCATATTATAACTCAGAATGCACAAAATTTATATCATTTAAAGAATTATCTAATCGTTGCCACATGTTCTATTCAAATACTATAAAAAACTAGAATGATGTATAAAAGAAATTAAGCAAACAAAATGAAAAAGAAACAGTTTTTCACAGACGATTGAGTATTTCTCATTCAATTAATTCAGTTTTCACTTCACGACAAGGCAAAAATACATAAAAACTCAAAATATCTGTATTAAAAATTACGAAGTAAATCTTAAACACTTATTTCCTCGAAAAAATTCCAGAAAGGATTAAGCATGATTTAATTCGCAATAATAAATGAAGGCATTATTTTTGTGTTGCAAAGCTTAGTCTCTCTAGATTGGCAACAAATCTACAATTCTGCTGTTTCAAATGTAAACAAATATGCCCGCCATGTTATTTAAAACTTAACCGCACTTAAACAGCTTTTAAATTGTTGATAATTGTACAAATACTGCTTCCAGAATTACGAAAGGCATAAAAACTTTAACCGGAAGATAAACAACATAATTCAATCATTTTTAAAGCAAAAAATATACAATTTACAAACATATAAGAGTAAAGAAACTGAGATCACTCAGCCGGGTAACAGAGTGGATATATTTATAAATATATTTATATGCGTTTGGCACGGCCGATTGAAACCAAAATACGAGGTGCACATGTACATGTTATAGTAGTCTTATATACAAAATTTCAACGTTCTGAGGCTACTCGTTTTTGAGTTATGCGAGATACGTACGTACGCACGCATGTACGTACATACGTTCGTACAGATGCCACAAAAAATTCTCTTCAAAATTCATTTTAAAGCAGTTTTTTATTTTTTTTTTTAAGGAAAAGAGTCTTTTATTCTGTCCTTACGTACAGATATCATGCAAAAACATCGTTAAATTGCATTCAAAAGTGGTCAAGGTGGATATTTTCGTTGAAATATGCTGCCCGAAGCTTTTCACGATTACAATACTTCCTTTTTACTTTGTACAAGGAAGTAATAGAGAAAATTACTTGAAAAAAAAAGTGGATTTTAATAACACATAATAAATGAAAATTCTGTGTCTCCTTGTGATGTGCTGCTATCTACTGTTTAAAAAGAAAAGTTCAAAGTATATTATAAAAGCATTTTTATCTATCTAATTACTGTTGAATTTAAAGGTTTCAGAAGCGATTCAATTTGGGTGTTCCATGTAGTGGAACACTGAGATGCAAAGGGTTAAGTAGGAAATTATATCAAATTATTCAAAGCATTATAATCTTTGTATAAAAAACTATTGAATTTATTTTTAAAAGTGTAATAAAAATAAAATTGAAGTATAGAACTGTAGGTATTGTACTTAAAAATATTTTTTGTAAGATTTTTGACGGTAAAATATGTGGTTTACTTTTATTTATAATAATAATTTTTGTTTTATAATAATACAGTTTTTATGGAGATTGCATAAGCCTCTTAAAGTGCTGTACATTATAGCAATAGCTGTGAGGAAAATTTTATTTATTACTTATTTTAGTTCAGAATTTCTAAAATCCAGTTTTAATTTAATAGTAATAATTTTTTTTTTTTTTTTTTTTTTTTTATGTTTAACCATTTTCCCTTTTAATTTATAAAATTCTTACAGCTCGAGAACGTATTGTGGGATGGTATCACACAGGCCCCAAACTTCATCAAAATGATATTGCTATCAATGAGCTGATAAGAAGATACTGCCCTAATTCGGTAATAATTTGAATTGAAATTTTTATATTTAGGGCTTTCCTTTATTCTTGTTTTAAGTTCGCTATTTCAACATGTAAGTTTTGATATTCATTATTTAATTTGTAAACTGTGACTAGCACTAACTATTTTAAATAGAAGTGTCTGATTTTTATTTTATTTATTTGTCTTGTGCAGAATATTTATGGAGACAAAAAAAATTATGCGGACATGTTTTTTAAAAAGTACCTTGTTTGGAATTTTAACGACCATATACTGTAGTACAAAGAACAAATATTTTAATGATCAGTATGTGAAGAAAATAGCATCATGTCAAAATTGGAAACTCACACATTTTTGCAGAATAGTTGATGTACCATAATTGTTTTCTTTATGCAATCAGGGTTTATACAATCCTTAAGTTTTTTGGAAATGATTTTTGGCCTTTAACAGTCAGTAATTTCGACCAAAACCTGCAATAGGTCCTTAATTTTGCTCAACTGACATTTCTGTTTGTTTTTTTACGACTGCCATTTTGAGTGTGGATTAACATTTTGAGGGAATATCTTTTTGATGATGTATTACAGGTAAGTATTTGTTGGGTTAATATTAAAATTCTTTCCTTCTTAACATGAAGGGTGGATACTCGAAATTTTAGAATCACAAAGCCCTGCCTTGAGTGAAACATTTCAAAGTTTTTTTTTTTTTTTTTTTTTTTTTGAATGAAGAATAACAAAATGTTACATTAAAAACAGTTTTCCCTTTTTGAGATACGAGTTCTTTTATTATGTGGCGCTAAATTAGGTGACTTTTTCAACATTTTTGCAATTCAGAAATGTTTGTTCATACATTCGCAATTTTTTTTTACAAACATAATAACACGGATAAATATGACAATAATTATAATAAATTAAAAATTATATTTAAGAAATAACATTAAAATACATTTTTATTTTCTCTTTACATGTTTCTGTGGAAAGTAACATTACTTTCCATAGAAAAATATTGATTCTGTAAAACAATATAATAAATATTTTAAAGCACAGTTTCCAAAACACTTCTGAGGAAAAAAGAAACAAAAATGCTTCTGTACTTATTTAAAAATTAATTTTTTCTTCATATATATCAGTTTCAAAGTGAAGGAAAAAAGGTGGAAAGAAAATTTAGTGTCAAAAAGCAAAGGTAATCTTAATTATCTTATACTGAACAGGAAAATGTAAAATATATATTCATGTTGCAAGTTTTTCCCCGAGTAATTGTTTCAGAATATTTAAATGTGTATCAGTTTTCTCTTGATCTTTTGTGAATTTTTTTCAAAAGTCTTTTGGATCTTTGCTCTTACACAAGTTAGTAGGGATAAATAACTTTTTTAAAAATTTATTTTAGATCTTGCACCTCAGAAGATATAGATACATTGTAGAGCCAAAATATTAATACCACCTACTCAGTAACATGTTATGCAATCTTTGACCTGCAAAACAGCTGCAGCTCACCATGGCATGGATGCCACAAGTTCAAGTCAAGTCACTGGAGACAGATCACGTTTCACGTCACTGCCACAAGTCACTGGAGAGAGGTTGTACCAAATGTCTAAGCAGCAGTCACTCAAAGTCGAGATATTCCGGCATGGTAGTGTATGAGTTGTGAGCTGCCCTTTTGTGATGTCTGAATTGTGCTCTATCAGTTTAAGATCTGGCAAGTTGGGGGTCAGGGCATTAATTCGAATTCATTCTTATGCTCCTTGAATCATACCAACACAGTTCGAGTCTTGTGGTGTAGGGCGTTGTCCTGCTGGAAGATTCCATGTCCAGTTGGGAAGACACATGCTATGCAAGGGGCAACTGATTCACAATTATGTTCAGATAGTCTGCAGCTGTCATGCTGTGTTCAACCACAGCTAAGGGTCCCGGAGCTGCTCATGAGAACATTCCCCAAAGCATAATACCACCTCCAGCAGCCTATGTATTACCTGCTGTACTGTAATACCTATGTATTACCTGCTGTGCTGTACCTCCAGCAGCCTATGTACCGGAGAGTAACTGTTCACCTAGAAGATGCTGTAGCCTGACACGACTATCAATTTGATGAATGAGAAATCATGATTCTCTTGACCAGGTTGTCTTCCACTTATGCATGGTCCACTCTTGATGTTCCCATGCCTACTGTAGACATAGTTGGTAATGACACTTGGTCAACAGAGGCACACGAGTGAGACATCTGCTGTACAGTCAAATACCCAATGGTGTCCACTGAACTATGTGTTTCTAAACACTTGGACCTGCATTGTATTGGGCTGTCAACTGAGCCACTGTCTGGTGCCGATTTTGCTGTACCAAGCAGGACAGTCTCCGATGTCCTTTTTCTTTGATGATGCATGGATGTCCAACAGCTTGGCTCTACTGTTGGTTTCACAATGCATAAATACTAACAATGGCAGATCATGAGCAACTTATCAGTTGTGCAGTTTCAGAGATACTTGTTCCGAGTTTTCGGGGCATTCAAATCTATCGGGCCGTTATGAAATCTGCTTAGATCAGCAGCCTTTCCCATTACTCACAAAAGTAAGTGCAAGAATGATTCCTTACTTTCTCCAGCAGCAGCTAAATACCTTTCCCACTTAATCATGTGCTCTCTATGTTCATCCAGACAAATTCATTGTAAAACGTGGGGATGGTCATAATCTTTTAGCTAGTCACTGTAGACCATTATTTTAAAGCCTTATAGACCTACAATTTTCAAAAAAAATGTGCAGAAATCAAAAGGGTCTTCATGGTTGTTAACATGTAATGGAGTGTTATAGGAAATTCGTGGTAAATTGCATATCTTTTGAAGAATTTTTGGAAGAACAGTGAAAAGAATTTTATTTGAATTTTCTCCTTTTGATACTAGAAATCTTTCTCTTAATATGTTTATCTTCCCTTTGATACATGTGTATCAGCTCCTCCAAAGTTAGAATTTGTGTTATGGACACAAAGGCCGGTAACTTTTTCTTTTAAATTATTTTCTTCAAGACGGGTAGTTAAATAGTTGCTGACAGTATCGAATGTTTCACAAGGTAAGAGAATTTAAATTCTAAATTTTTTACTGTAACCCCCTAACTTCTATCTATAAATCTAACAAATATTGGAAAAAGTTTCATTTCCTTGCCATTAGATTCATCAGTTAAGATTGAAACAAATGAACATTTTCCCCAATCAGCTTTTAAAGCATAAGGCATGAAACCGCTTAGTATTATTGCTTTGACATTGATTTGCACACACATCAGTTTAGGCTCAAATGCCACTTTAAGCAGCTTGAATATAAAATCCATTGACCAAAAGCTCTGGTTGTGGCAAATAGTGTGGTCCACAAAAGTACCTTTTACTGCAATTAATTCTTCTTCTTATCATCCATTTTCTCCTATTTGAAAAATTCTTTAATGACAAGCTCGTGAACATTTTGTGTTTATTACTATTTATATGAAGTTTAATATCTATGCCTACCATGGTTCATTGAAAATTTTGAAGGACATTTATTGCACTGTACATCAGATTTGCTTATATTTTTTTCAATAAACAGCCCTTCTGTAGATCTTTGTTTAAACATACGCTTTTTTAAATCCCATTACTAAAAAAGTCGATGGAAAAAATAAATATTAAATTCAACTGCATTAAAAACATATCTTTAGCACATTTTCAATGCACAGTTGATAATTAAAAATTATATGCTGTTGCGAAACGGAAAATACCTTTACTCATCATCATTTCAGCAGATTTTTTAACCCTTATGTGAAATCAAAATGATGATGGAGTAAAATTACAGGATCTAAACATGACAAAAGAATGATGATTTTAGGTGGATATATCTACTACAAAATTTCTGCAAATGACAAAAAAAAAAAAAAAAAAAAAAAAAAAAAGTTTTGTTTAATAATGTGTCAGAGAAATACATAATAAGATTTGTAATGCACCGATGATAATCAAAAATATATTATAAATTCAAATCATAATTAAATTAATACAGTGGAACCTTGAGATACAAGCACCTCTTCATACGAGAAATTCGAGATAGAGTAAAGTATGAGTGAAAAATTAGTCTCTAAATACGAGCAATGAGCCAGGCTGTTGGTATGCATGGCGCTATTTCCTGATCCGGCTCAACTCGGGGAATCCCCTCATCGGATCACTCGGTGTTCTTTGATCTACGTGTTTGTGCACTTGTGAGTTAATTGGTTATTAAATTTAATGTGAAAATAATTATTTCGCCATGCCTCCCAAGAAGGTTGTTGCCTCTGATAGTGCTCAAAGAAAAAGAAGGAAGCCATGGCTGTTGAAACTAAGAAAGCACAGATAAACATAAGCTTGGTGTAAGACTAACGGAATTGGCGAAGACTTACATTTGACATTGACGATCTGCACTATTCTGAAGAAGAAGGAAGAAATTAAGAAACTTGATGTGGCCAAAGCAGGGGTGTTTGTGCTCCGGGGATCGTCGTTCAAAAGGAAGTAGGAATAATAATGATATATTTATTTTGATCTGGGTAATTTTGTTTGCTTTGAAAGCAGAAAACGCAAGGTCAGTGTGTGTGGTGAAAACTTTTCCTTTCTTTCTCCAAAGGCAGTGATAATGCGTGAAAAGGGGGAAAAAACTTCTTTTTTGTTCTTTCCTTATTGCAAGTTATGATTCATTCCCCCGGTTCTCGGACATTCTCTTCTGGATTCTTTTCGGCATGTAGGCGCGGCAGAAAAAAAAAGGGAGAGACTTCGTTCGACCAGATGTGTGATCACGTGACTCTGGGTTCAAAGGTCTTATCTCTCCTGGCGTGGCGCCAATAAGTAGAGAAGGGGGATTTTTCGCTGTATTAGCTATTTGTCATTGATCGCTTCTCAACTTTTTTTTTTCTCCGCTGTGTAAAATTTTCGTTTCATTTATTGATGCACGTGTAAATTTTTCGTTTCGTTTATTGAAATTTTTTTTTATTTATGTACGCAAGAGAATTTCACTATGAAATTTCTCGATATAAATAGTGATATTATACAATTAGA